GCCCCCATGGTCCCTTCAAACATTTTACAGCAAACCTGGATGAAGTATCTGGAGTTCAAATTAGAACATCTGTAGTTCTTAGGGAAGGCACAAACTGCAAATACAGCACTAAATGGTTGAGTGCTAAATGGGGATTTAGAAAAGGAGAAAGTATATTCTTTCTGTTGTGATTGCACTGCAGGTTTCTCATGCATTAGGAATATTTAAAAAGGAATTCCTGAATAGTAACACGAAAATGAAATGGACAGGAAAGGAGAAGCAAACTCACCTTTGCCAGAAGTGACATCGAACACTACTCCCTTCACCGCCAGGTAAATGGGCTGCCCTTCCTGGAAGGAAAGCCATCAACATACCCTCAGCCCTACAGTGTAAGCAAGCAGCAGTTAGCTTTAGCTATGAAACCCATAAGGACATGAGGATGAACATTAAATTCTCAGTTGTATGCTTTTTCCTGTTTGTGCGTATACAGCAGACACATCCCCTCCCTTGGAATTTCTTGTGCTTTAAACTGTCCCTGAGATTTATGGGCATTTTTTGAGCATTTAAGCATATTCAATGAGAGAACCTTTTTAATTTAAACATTACGCTCACAGAAGACACATCCCTCCTGCAAGTCACCTCTTGTCTGCTCAGTGATGATCAACTGCATCTGTTCCTAATGCAGATGGATACTGCCCAAGACAAAAGGGTGTATGGCCAACAGTGTTCTTTATTCAATTAAGAGAGCAACATAAACACACACAAATCTCATCTGCTGACATCTGTTTTACTTAATACGCCAGTGCTTCTGCTTTGTCTTTTACATGTATTTTTAACTCAGATGCTGTTAGTTTCTTGGAAGTATCCAGAGAAGGCCCTGAGGAGGGCCAGCTCATCTATAAAAGACACAGTACGTAGGAATATAGGACTTTATAATCTTGAATGTGAAGTTCTGCTGAGATTTCTGTGTCACAGAAAGCGAAGAACTCTTAAGCTGAAATTGCTTTGTTACTTCTCATAGGGGGGTAAAGCACCTAAACACATGGTTTAATGAATTATTGAGGAAGAATCACTTCGGCTGCAGTTATGGCTGTCTGCAGTACGTTGGCACGAGCACCTTGCCAAACAGGCAGTGAACAGAACAGGAACATCTGACTGCACGCAACTTCAGCGGGCCAAACCCAGCAGGACACGAGCCGTGAATGCCAACTGCTCACGGGCGCCCAAGAGCCGAGTTACCCCGGGAGGGAGGCACAACACGGCGGCACAGCACTACAAAACAAGGCTTAACGAGGTTGCAGGGGCCCGAGCAGCCGGCGAAGGCGGCCCCGGCCCCGCCGCGGCCCGCCCGCCCGTACCTGCTGCCCGTCGTATCTGGCCAGCTCGGGCTCGGTGAAGAGCCGCACGGGGGCCTCGGCCGGCTGCCGGAACCGCAGCTCCCGCTCGGCCTGGGCCGGGAGCGCCCCGAGCAGCGCGGCCAGCAGCACCCGCGCCGCACCGCCCGCCATGCCGCGGAGATCGGGCAGCCGGCCCGGCACCGCCTCCTCCGGCACCGCCCCCGACAGCCGCGGCCGGCGGCGGGAGCAGGCTCCAGGCTGCGGGATGGTTCGGGTTTAGCTGGAGGTACGCGGGAGGAGTGGAGCGTACGTGGTGAAGTGAACGAACTCACTGCGTGTAGAGCAGTACCAGTGTAAAGCGCACCGAAAGCTGTGCTCAGTTATTACAGTGAGGGCCCCTCACGACAAGAGGGACACTGAGGTGCTGGAGTGGGGCCAGAGAAGGGCAACGGAGCTGGTGCAGGGCCCGGAGCACAAGTGTGATGGGGAACGGCTGAGGGACCTGGGGGGGGTTCAGTGGGGAGAAGAGAAGGCTGGGGGGGGACGACCTGATCGCTGCCTACAAGTGCCTGAGAGGAGGATGGAGCCAGGAGGGGCTGGGCTCTGCTCCCAAGGAACAAGGGATGGGACAAGAGGAAACGGCCTCAAGCTTCCCCAGGGCAGTTTTAGATGGAGCTGAGGAACAATTCCTGCCCCAGAGGGTGCTCAGGCATTGGAACAGGCTGCCCAGGGCAGGGCTGCAGGCACCGTCCCTGCAAGTGTTCACACACGGTGGAGATGAGGCCTCAGTGCCATGGGTCAGTGGTGGCCTTGGCAGTGCTGGGAAATGGTTGGACTGGATGAGCTTAAAGGGTTTTTCCAACCCGGTTGAGTCAATGATTCTGTAATTCTCTGGTTCTAAGTGTGCGGTGCTGCCCCGAGGAAGGGCCATGAGTGGTGCACAGGGAGCGCCCTGACCCTGCGGGGCACGCAGCAGGCATGGTAACTACTGGCAAATCTAACAAAAGGCCACTCAGGTTTCATCCTTCTGCTCTGAAGCTTCTGTGCTTGCTGGTCTGACCACTTGTTCACAGATCAGCACACAAAGGGCAGGTTTCATCTTCTATGACTTTAAACTCTCTTTATAGCCTAAGGAAGGAGAGAATAAATAGGAAGTTCTCAAATGATGTGATTTCCCTGTGCTATAAATACAGCACAGGGAAACACTCTGGGCTGGCAGAAAAGTAAGCAGTTTGATGTTTGTAACTGTATATAGAATTAAGGAAATGAGATGCTTTTTACAATTTAGATACATGTATCACATCCCTCACTGTACTGCTGGCAAGTGAAGACTTGAAGGATTTATAGCCTGGATGTGTAATGCCGTGGCATCCCATCTTCCCGACTACTGGGCTGTAATCCAAATCCCTGTTTGGTACCTCTGCTCCATGTACAATGTTTTGTGAAAGATGAACAGTTTAAAGGACCTGGACAGCAAACAGGAGATAGAAACATCCTTGTTTTGAGGACTGTTTATAAACTGTGCTTGTATAAAATCCCTGTGTCTGCCTCAGAGGAAACCTGTTCCATGCTGCGTGAGCTAACACCCACACGCTGTCCAGAGGCAAGCAGAGCTGAAGTAGCTAATCAGAGCAACATCTCCATCGTTCTCCTCTGGATGGCAAAAGCAGCTCAAGATGAGAATTCCAGGACAGTGAGGACATGTCACCACAGTATGGGGATGACGACCACCGGGACACATCCCCACATGAGGAGCCAGGCCAAGCCTGCGGAACCAGGCAGCTCCATGAGGGAGCCGACTGCCGCAGGCTGAAGCTGGTGTTACAAGCCAAGTGTTGCTCCTATGTGGTTGTTCCTGTGATTCTCCTTAAGCAACAAAGTTTGCCTACATTGCCTAAACACCTGGGCTTCACAACGGGCTTCTCATCCTGGCTGTCCATCACGTCCATGTGCTGACTCCACACACTACAAGGCAGAAAAAGGACCTTGAAGCCTTTGGACCAAACAGTTCATGAATGCTCCCATTACATGCAGAGCTCTGGATTTGCCTGGTTGCTCTGCCTGCCAATCCCCTCTGTGGCATTCCACAGAGCCCCATACTGCTGGGAAAGAGGCAAAGTCCAATTCGTCGGTTTGGTTCAATCACATTATAGATTTACCTTGTATTCTGTAATAATTATTAGTGCAGGTGCTGAATACTAACCAACAGCTGCCTGAGGTGTTAGTGATTTGGGGCTCAGTTACAGCCTGCCTTTGAACCACTGACATCTGAAAATCAAGTAACAAGAACTAAAACGTTTTGCTTCTGAAAGGAGAAGCTGTATATTAGCATTGCTGTTGTCAAAAGACTTCAAACCTTAGTTATTAACTTAGAGGTGTGGGTCTTAGGCATAGGGAAAAGGTCTGAGCAGCTCCTCTACAGTGTTGTGTCTCAATGCAAGAAATGTTGTGCATACTTTTCCCAGTGATGAAACGTTGCCAATTACTTCTGTGCTGGGAAGGAAAAATAGCTGTGTAGGTATTTGTGGATCGGTGGCCCATGAGTCAGCTCACATGTGGTTTTGGCTTTTATCTTCACAGAGCACCCCATTGCTGCCACTGCTGGGCTAGTGTAGCACAGTTGAGGCTTCACAGGAGCCTTGCAGAAGCTCTGTCTGCTTGCCAGGTGTGTCCGTTGGTTTGGTGTTCTGCAAACAGCCCTGAGCAGTGAAAAACGAACAAAACCATGAATTGTGTGCATCCTGGGGAGAGCTGGCAGGAAGGGTTTAAATGGCTTTTTCCATCGAGTTCATTCTTGCATAGGACAATTCACGTTGTGAAGTGTGTGGTGTGGAGACTCTTTTCCCTGTCACCACAGAGTGCACTTCCGTGTCCTCAGCAGAGAAAATCACAGCCTGATTTGGGTTGGAAGGGACCTTAAAGCTCATCCAGTTCCAATCCTTGGCACGGGCAGGGACACCTTCCACTAGAGCAGGTTGCTCCAAGCCTGTGTGTCCAACCTGGCCTTGAACACTGCCAGGGATGAGGCAGCCACAGCTTCTCTGGGCACCCTGTGCCAGCGCCTCAGCACCCTCACAGGGAAGAGCTTCTGCCTAAGAGCTCATCTCGGTCTCCCCTCTGGCAGGTTAAAGCCATTCCCCTTGTCCTGTCCCTACAGGCCCTTGTCCAAAGCCCCTCTCCAGGTTTCCTGGAACCCCTTTAGGCACTGGAGCTGCTCTAAGGCCTCCCCTTCTCTTGTCCAGGCTGCCCCAGCCCAGCTCTCTCAGCCTGGCTCCAGAGCAGAGCTGCTCCAGCCCTCGCAGCATCTCCGTGGCCTCCTCTGGGCTCGCTCCAGCAGCTCCACGTCCCTCTTGTGCTGTTGCCCCGGAGCTGGATCAGGGCTGCAGGGGGGGTCTCACAGCGTTCACTATAAACCCTGCAAACCCCGGTTACTCGGGTGAGGAGCACTCGCGCTGCACTGGGCGGCTCTGCGCTGCCTAAGGCGAGGGAGCTGGGCAGGAATGGCCCGGCCCTCCGCAGAGCTAGGCGGCCATCAACGCGGTTGGACTACACCTCCCAGCAGCTCCCGCGGCGCTGAGCCGAGGCCGAGGCCGCGGGGCGGGAAGCAGCCGGAGAGCGGGCGGTGGGTCCGGGCGCCTGCGTGGCCCTGCCCGGGCGGCTCGGCTCGGCCTGGCGTGGCATGGTCCGGCCCGGCCCGGCCTGGCCGCGCTGCCGCCGCGACCCGGCGATGCCATGCTGAGACCCGAGATCTCCGCATCCTACCAGGAGGTACGAGGGGCCGGGGCAGGGCTAGCGGCCGGTGACCCGACGGAATGGGCCGGGGCAGCCCCTCTGGGCAGCAGTACCCTACCCAGGGCTTGCCGAGCGCTGTCGCTGTGGGCTCGGGGGGTGAGGGATGTGCTGTCCCCCGGCTGGTGCAGTCCCAGTGACTGCACCGGCACTCGCAGAAAGAGGCGGGTGCTCCGGGCACGCTCGTTGTCATGTTTTAGCCTTCAGCGTGGTTAAAACGACAGGCAGCGGCTCTCTAAGAGCATGAGCTGGGTACAGCGGCCGGTGGGCTCCCTCGATGGGGTTTCCATGGCCAGGAGGGCGTCTGTCGGGCGTGAGAAGCGCTTTGGTACCGGAGCTGTCGCACACGCCACTGAAGCCGCATTATCCTCCTGAGCCCGAGGCAGCCCGTGGTTTGCATATCAATGTACGGGCTCGTTCCTATCGCTCGTGCTAGGGATACGAGCTGTTGGTGCCAAGTTCCATAGCGATAGAGACTTGCAGCAGAGCGCTTTTGTTTGCATCTTGAAGGCGAAACGAGTGCAGATGTTTGCCTTCCTCTGCATGTGATGGGTGGTCTGGGGCTCTGTTTTAATATAGAATCATGGAATCCCAGAATAGTTTGGGTTGAAGTGACCCTAAAGCTCCTCCAGTTCCAACCCCTGCCACGGACAGGGACCCCTTCCACTAGAGCAGGTTGCTCCAAGCCCCTGTGTCCAACCTGGCCTTGAACACTGCCAGGGATGGGGCAGCCGCAGCTTCTCTGGGCACCCTGTGCCAGCGCCTCAGCACCCTCACAGGGAAGAACTTCTGCCTCAGATCTAACCTGAACTTGGCCTGTTTCAGTTTGAACCCATCACCCCTTGTTCTTTTTTTAATTTAGTAGTGTCTGTTTAGTTTCATCTTCCGGTCTTTGTGCGAGGCTAGAAGGCATTGGAAGGTGATGTATCAGTGGAGCAGCAAAAAAACCTGTATGGACAAGTTCTTTTATTTAAGAGTTTTATCCAGAAGGATGGTTTTATCCATGGTTATCAGGATGAAATTAACTCACGTAAGAGCTTGCATGTAGGGAAGGTACTTGAGAGGGTTAATGAAGTCACGGTGATGCCTAAAGTGTGGCTATGCATGCTACACTTCTACCATGTGTATCAGCCAGGACTGACACTGCTCCATATGTTAGGGATTGTCCCAGATGCTATGCCGCGAGTCTAGATGCTGTGTAAGTGCAGTGGCTGTGTTTCCGTCCCTTCTCCAGCATCTGGGCCGGTCTGTGATGCTCCTGTCCCTAGCAGGGATGCTCAAATGTCTGGAATTGCCTTTTCTGATCTTCTCTTTGTTCAGTGCTTTTCTATGTGCAGCCATGAAAAGGAGCTGCCAGGTCACAGGCAGGCTCCTGCTTTTGTTCCAGCTGTAAGTGCTGAGCCCAGAGGAATGCTGAACAAAGGTCTGTTCCATGCCCTTCCTGCTCTTGACATCCTATCATATCTGCATCCTATTGCAAGTTTAACTATCCTGCAAGTTTGTGTTCCTTCTGCACCATGCTTCACCTCTTTGCCAAAAGTAGGATGTGGGAAGAGCTAGCCTGTGAGGGTGAGCACTGCTGGCATATACCAGCTTCACTGATGTTCTTTGCCTTGATGTGGGGATTCTGTCAAGTGTGAAGAACCTGTCATGCTGTGCTTCCTGTCGCTATGAGGTTGTAGCTGAGTGTGCCTGTGAGCTATTAGGTTTGTAGGTCTGTGCTGCTGTGTGCCTTATGGCATCTGTTTGCTTAGAACATGGTAGCTGAGCCAGGAGCAGCACTAGGCTCCTGGTGGCCTCAGCCGGTTTGTGCAACTTCTTGTCAAGTCAGGTGTTCAGTGTTGCAGTGGCATTAGTTGGTTTTAGAGGTCTTACACATCAGCTGAACCTCCTCACTGTGAATCAGGCAATGTTGGCACTCCTGCTTTTGACTAGCTTTCTTCCCCTGGCTTTATGTGCGAAAAGCTTATGAAACCATGTCTGCCCTGTGAAGAGAGATAAGAAACCATAGTTGCATGTTGGTTAGGGTTTTGGTTCGTTTCTAATGAATACTGAAAGGTTAGCTTTTCTGAGTTTTTGTTCTGCGTCTTGAAGAGGATAAGAGATGTGGCACATTGTGGTGTTTGAACAGGTGCTGGGATCTCCTTGTTGTCCTGAGCAGAACTCACTTATCCTCTACATACCCTCAGTTGATGAGGTGCCTGTGCATTGGGAACTGTGACTGAACCAGAGAGGTGGTGGAGTCAGCTGAGAAACAGCAGTGACTTTATAACTGATGTTACAAACCTTTTGGATCAGCTGTGTGTAAGGGATTTGCATGAGTGTAATTTGAACTGCTTTGTTTGGTGATTCAGCCTAACCAGTACAGGAGGTTCAGGAATCATTCTTCTTGTGTCAGAATAGCTTATTTTGGGTCAGGTAAACAAATAGAACTGGTTTGTGTGTTTCTGCAGAAAGGAGCAGGATGTTAATTTTTCCTTACTTTTTTTACTTATCTCCATAAAATATCTCCTACTGGACACTACTGAGTGTCCTGCAAGTGAGATGAGTTTAGCCTATTAGTTACCTGTTTGCTCCATGCTTCACACATGGGAAACCATGCCTTATTTATGTACAAAGCATTTAAAAACAGCTGGGTAACTGCTTTCAACTTGCTTTGGATGGTGGAAATCAACACAGGAATCCAGCAGGAGGTGATGGAGACTTTACATCAGACTGCGAAGACGTAAAAGGAGTGGACTCTTTCCTAATAAGTGCAAATGATGGTTTGTTAATGGAATAATGATGGTTTCAATACTGAATTGAAGTTGGGTGAAATAAAAGCACTTCCTTATGGATACACGTGCGTTACTGTTGAGTAAGTTGGGGGTGTGAGATTTAATAGCAGTCGGTGTGGCTGCTGCATCAACTGTGCCCCCGTTTTCCTTGAAGTGGGAACAAAGCTAATCTTTCTTATCTAGTGATGTAGGTGATGCTGAGTCTAAATCCAAATCTAAACATCTTGGACAGTTACCGTGCAGCACATGATGTGGAAGGTTTGCCTTGCTGTAACTTGTTTGTCAGTCCCTGCCACAAAAGAGATTTGGAAAACATACAGGAGATACTTCATATATATATAAAGTCTAATGCTTCACGATCTCCTGTGGTGCCTCTCTGATGTGACAAGCCGCTGCATTTGACAGCAGCGTCTTGGCAGTTTGGGCCCAGAAATCTGAATAGCAAAACAAGAAAACATCTGGTTTTGGAAGGAGTGTAAGAATAGTTAGTTGCATAACCACTAATATTTAATAATATGTATAGTGAGCTCAACTAAGGACCAGAAATGTAGAGATGTTCGACTGTTGTCTTGTAATGACCCACTACCTGTGTGGCTGAGGCTGCATTTGAGTTGCTTGTCCTAATACCTGTCAAAATGCAACTCGCTCTTTTTGCATCTCTTTCCTAAGATGTGCTAATGCTTTGTGTGCTGGTATGTGCTGTGGTTTGTCTATGCCTAAAACTACATTGTTGAGTGATGAAGTTCCTGCTTATTTCAGAGGACATTGTCCTAATTTGGGGTTTAAAGTGAGCTGAAGCTGCCAGGGAAACAATTGCTTTGATCTTGAAAGAAATGGTGATGTTATTGGTGAAGTGGCAGGGTAGAAGTAGGTTAAATTTAATGTGCCGGTTCTCTTTTTGCAGCAAGTCACTTACGTTTTTAGCTGTAGGTCTATGTAAATGTGGCTCTAGTTCACAAGTGGAGCAGATGTTGGGTGCTCTTGAACTGGGGGCGTGTTCTTGTGTGTTTGGTTAGTTGGAGCCTCTTTTATTTGTACCATAGAAATTCCAGCAATTACGAGTTGAGAGCATGTTTGGAAATTGAACCACTGTTTTAACTACACAGCTGAGTGAAGATGTGGAGCGAGCATCTGAAAACCCAACAGATGAGAGAGAAGGAGAGATGGAAGTGCATGAAGATGCCAGCTCTGTTATTCTACCAGGTGAGATCTACTGAGTCAGAAATTACCCATTTTAAGTGCCTGATAAGCTGCTTCTGTGTATGGATTTGGTTGTGGTTTGTTGTATTTATCTTTTTTATTGCACTTCTGAAAGCAAACAAGCCACTAAAATACTTATTTGGGGGAATAAACTGCTAAATTACTTATTTGTGGAATAAGCCCAGGAGCTTTCCAAAGATTGAGGTGAGAACACTTCTCCATCATGAACTGTGCTCAGTCAAAGAAGACTGAGCATATCTGGTTCTGAGCTAGCTCGGTAGGTCTTCTTCCTTTATGCTGTATCTTTCCTGAGTTGCAGTGGATTGCAAGTAGAGTCTGTGCCAGGTTCACGTGAGCAAGATGTGATATTGAACAGATGTGCTTTTACACAGATTTTAGTTAGACTGTTCAGACCTGCTTTGGAGGGTGAGGACAGTGCTAAGTGGGCTGACTGCAGCTCAGGTGTAGGCATTAAGATAAGGCAAGCTGAGGTGAGTATTGTCTAAATGCTTTACAGCTGCTGGAGACATACTTGTTTCCAAAGTGCAATTTTTTGCATATTAGTGTCCTAATTTCCTTGGCTGTGATCTCTTGGGAATGCATATGTGACTATGGTAAGAGGTTATGTGTTCAGTAGGATTTACTAAAAGGTTGGTGTTTGCTGTGGTAAAGAACGAACACCAAACCATGCTATTACAGTTGAAGGGCAGAATGTGGCAGGGCCTGACTCATTAAATTACACTACACAGAAGAGGCAGCATAAAATATGCCTACTTATCTCCTTTTATATGTTTTAATGCTTACGGTCAAAACATGGTGTGTAAATCAGGAGCACATGAGCATTTTCCTTAAAAGTGTTGGCAAAAGAAACAGTGAATGCAAGGAGGATGGGGAAAGCAGTGTCTGTGTTGAAGTGAAACTAATGTGAAGATCTTCAGAGAATAAGCTTGGAGGGCAAGGAGACTGTGAAACTTCCTGTAGTACACACAGCTTATGGACTAGAGGGTAACAAATATCTAGTGACTTCTGTGGTCATAGCTGTGGGTATAGCACTGCAATATTAAATCTCTCTGTTGATGCATATACTGCATGTGTAAGAGTCACTTCAGACTGGGAGGGGGAAAAAGGAGTTACTTTTTCTAGGAGGAAAGATTGACTATCAACAGACTTTTTTTTTCCCCTTACGAACTTTGAACTTTGCTTCTGAGTTATCCTTCTTGAAAACAACCCTTGTTTCCTGCCTGCCGTGTCCTGAAGCACAGTGCCAAATTCAGCTAGTGAAAAAGAGGCACAAGCTGTGGATGACTATAGCTCATGCTTGAGAAGGAAGCGTCTGTCTCATCATCAAAACCAGTAATAGTTGTAGGGTTTTTTTTTAAATCAAGCCAATTTTGAGGGTTACTTTCCTTGTGTGATTGATCTCTAAATTCATGCTTCACAAACTGAGCCCATGTATCTGTATTTTGAAGCCCTAATCCATATTCTGTTTGGTTCCAGATAGTGAACTGGGCACCACTGCCCCTTCTTTGCGTTTCAGCAAGACCTGCCTAAAGAATGTTTTTTCAGTAATTCTCCTGTTTATTTATCTGCTGCTCATGGCTGTAGCTGTGTTCCTTGTCTATCAAACCATCAGTGACTTCAGGGAGAAGCTCAAGCATCCAGTGATGTCTGTCTCTTACAAGGAAGTGTCCTTGTATGATGCACCTGGTAAGAGTGGTAACAAACTAAATGGGTTAAGTCGATGTTCACATTTATCTTAGATGGCTTTAAATGTTTGGTGTTGATTCTCCAGAGTGGTTCTAATGCTTTGACCCAGGTCTTTCACTTCCCTGTGTTTTTTAATCTCTGTTGTGTTGACTTTGCACTGAAATGTTAATATTGTATGGGAGATTTTGGGAGCTTTCATAGAATCGTAGAATGGCTTGGGTTGGAAAGGACCTTAAGATCATCCAGTTCCAACCCCCTGCCATGGGCAGGGACACCTCACACTAGACCAGGTTGCCCAAGGCTCTTTCTAGTGTGACCTTGAACACTGCCAGGGATAGAGCATTTACTGCTTCTTTGGAGTGGAGTGTTAGGCAACATTTCATAGATAAAAAGTGTTTGCAGACTCTAGAATTTGTCTTCTTTTAGAGAAAGGAGGTAATTCCTTATGGAAATAGTCCCAGACTTGTATTGTTCAAACAGGGTAGCACATAGGACGTGTATCATGACTTGGTGCTGCACTGGACAGTGAGATGCTGTTGACAGTAAAGAAGGTGAATTTCTCAAACCAACCCCAAAACAACCACAGTGCCACTTTCTGCTTCTGTTGTGCATTGTTTACAACTTGGTATTACGTCAGTAGGCAGTGCAAGTGGGATGTGACTGCAGGGAACAATGTTGGCATCAAAATGCAGTGTGGCATCAGAAAACTGGGTTGCAGCTCGCAGGAGGGATTACGCCACAGAAGCATTTGGGAATAATGCTATCTATTGTTATTATCTTTTTAAATTATCCAGTAACCATTCATAAATAGAGCTACTGTGGTAGCTACTGTGGTAGCAAGTGCAGCTCAAACAGTCGTAGGGCAGTTTCCAGCTTAAAAATTACATTCATTTGAAGTGATACCGCATTTTACATGTGTAATTGTGGCTGAAAGGTGTTTCGAGTTGTTGCCATATTCCTGTAGTTGTTTTTCTATATAGTCAGTTAGGCTCAGCTCTGTAAATAGATCCAGCATTCGGACCATGAGGATCTAACTGTAAGAGCAGGGTCGCCACCACTTCCCCTTTGGATTTTTCCTCATATGAGGTTTTCATACAGCAATGGGAAGCAAATGTCACTTAAGGCAATAGAGCAACATGCATATAAATCCAAAAAGTATTGTCAGGGGTCCCTGCCGGACAGGTCACCTCGGTTGGGTGGGTTAATCATCTAATACTTCAAATCACAGGGGTTTTTTGGTAGTTGGTCTAGATTATCTTCAGGCAAGCTTGTTTCCAATAATAAATGTGACATACGTGGTGTAAAAGGAGTTTTGGTTTGGGGCCTTGTGTTTTGCTAGCCTTCTACAGCTGAGGTGACTGAGGTTCTTAAAGTGTGCAGACTTTGGTCTGAAGTAGTAGGTTTATGGTATATATGAATGTTTTTCTTTCTCTCCCCAAACAGGTATTGCCTTTTATCCAGGCAAGGCTCAGCTGCTGAGCTGCAAGCATCATTACTATGATCACATTCCACCTCTGATCAATCCAGGTCAGCCAGGAGACATTGACTGCACCACTCGGAGAATCAACTACACAGATCCTTTTACTAATCAATCTATGGTAATAATAATAATACAATACAACAAAGCTCATTTGGGGGAGGGAGGGTGTTCTGCTCCTAATGATATTTGGAAGTAAAAATACTTACTGAGTGCTGCAAAAAATCCTTGCTTCTATTTCTTTTTTTTCAAGCCATCTGTCCTTTTGTTCTCAGAAATGTAAAAGACCCCAGTCAGTGTGTGTGTTATGGAACATCAGCTGTCAGTGGGGGTGTGCAGCATGAAAGCCTGAATGGGACAAAATAAGTCATTTTTCACAATGAAACTCTCGCTTCATTCCTCTCCTAAATGAACAGCCAAGCATGCTCCTTGATATAGTAAATCTGGCTTTGATTGAAAGCAGGAGCAGTTGTTCTCTTAAAGCGGGAGAGCTTATCTCTTTTTGTATGTTTGCTGGGAATTAGGCACTATTTTTGTCACATTTGGAAGAATTGTAACTGGGCACCAAGCGTTTCATTACACTGAAATGCCGTGAGGCAATAAAATGGGTACACTGAGTGACAGCCTGTCTTAAAGCGCCCTTAAAAATGCAGTCTAGCTTCTGTATAAATAAATGCTGAAAAAAATGAAGTCTTAAATATGCATTTCTAAATGAATTGCTCAGGTTTTTTTGAAGGCAACTAAGTGTGAACAAGCAAATTCTGTAGGTACCCATTTAGTCAGCTATTTCCTCTTCATGTTTTGCCTTTTGTCTAGTCACCGTTTCTTTCTTAAGGGAAGCGGCTCCTTAGTGTATGTGAAAGTAATACTCTAGGTGCAAGTCTAATTTCTGCCACTCACATGCTCTTTTTGCATGTTTTAGCAAATGAAGGACCTGCATTTTGTGCTGTGTGGTACATTCATGTAGGAGCTTGCTCATCCAATAAGCTCTAGTCCTGCAGAGGAATGGAGAGACACTGGAGGCAGAGACCTCTGAACCACATAGAGTCCTGTTCACACTGTCTTAAGTCCTTTTGCAAGCAGCAGCTTGCTGTTTGATATGATGCCTGCACTACATTAAGTTGTATTTTGCCTGCCAGCATTTGTTGTTGTGGTTTTTTTTCCTTTTGGCAGCTTACTTGAGGTGCTGGGGGCTGCGAAACTGTTCCTCCATTTCACATCAGAAGCCTGATGTTCTTCTCAACACTAGACTCCACATTGACTTGTTTCATGTCAAGAGCTGAAAGTCTGTAGACTTTACTGCTCTAAACAGCTTGGATTGTCCTGCAGAATGCAGGTTCCACATGAATTCAAAGGACTCTGATACAAACTAAAGCTGATTTCTTAGGAAAACACTAAATGGTGATGTAAAGGCTTTATCCTTAAACTGAAAGGAGGGATCCAACTGGCATTCTTAAGTGTTGTAGTAGGGGCATACTTAGTAGCAGCCAAGAAAATCTCAATGTGTGTTAGATCTCTATACAGTATTAGTGACAGATGGCAAATTCATGAACAGGACATGAGGATTCCTTTGGTACTCTCACCACCTCTCTGTTTGCTTACAGAAGTATGCTTTGGTTGTTCAAGGCCCTCGTGATGTGAAGAAAAAGGAACTGGTGTTTTTGCAGTTTCATTTAAATGGAACAGACCAGGATTTTAGTGCCATTGACTACCTTCTGTTCTCTTCTTTCGAAGAGTTCATCAACAGGTATGTGAAGGGCTGAGCCTGTTAACTGCATTAAACTAGCTGCAACAAAACTAGTAAAAGCAGGGCCTTTTTAGCTCAAATCAGACAGAGATCAGATCCCTAGATGGATTTGTTGTGACTTCTCTGGAAGCTTGGCTGTATTGTTCTGCGTTACAAGGTTTTTGTAAGATTCTACAGAATGTGATAATTGCATAGGTGTGGTTTCAAATTTGCTTTTTATTGGTTTGGCATTGATGCCATTGGAGTGACAGATCCATCTTCTCATTTTAGCAGGAGTGGAATCATAGAATCATACAGTAGTTTGGGTTGGAAAGCAACTTAAGATCACCCAGTTCCAACCCGCTGCCATGGGCAGGGGCACCACACACTAAACGCTGTCACCCAAGGCTCTCCAAGTCTCACCACTTTCACAGGGGAGAACTTCTGCCTTAGATCTAACCTGAACTTGCCCTGTTTCAGTTTGAAGCCATCACCCCTTGTCCTGTCGCTGCAGTCCCTGATGAAGATTCCCTCTCCAGCATCCTTCTAGCCCCCTTCAGACACTGGAAGTTGCTCTGAGGTCTCCACTCAAATCCCGTCTTGACCTTTCTTGAAAGCCCCACACTTTTTACACGCTTTGTGAGAGTCAGTTTCATACTTGAATTTAAATTAAAGCAAAAATTAAATAGTTAAGGGCTGTTCTCTCTGTAATGCAGATTAAAAGCTAGTCAAGATCTTAGTCACAGTGAGACCTAATAGAAAGCCTTAACTTGGTAGTATTCAGATGGTCAGTGAAAAAGGGACAGGGAATAAAGGCCATAAGCAGAACAGAATCAGGTGAGGAGAGGAAGAGAACTAGCAGATTTTAATGTAAAAAAAGCGTTTTTGGAGTCTTGGACATGATGGTACTGGTGCGTTTCAGATGGAGCAAAGACTGGAAGTGTTCAGTCACAGTAGCTCTGGGTGGCCAGAAACCAATTATATGAATTTGCTTTTTACAAGGCATTCTTATTTCGGTGAAGGAGAGCTCTTAAGTCATTAAATACTTTCTATAACTGTACTAAACCACCTTATATAATGCTAATGTTCCAGGTATTTTAAGCATTGATGTTTTAGGGTGAAAAAATACCAGTTAAGAGTAGTGATGTAAAAGGTGGGTGAAAAAATACCAGTTAAGAGTAGTGATGTAAAAGGTGCGACCTGTTCTTCTTGTGTTGTTTTTTCTCAGGTTTTGTGGCCTGTGCTGCAGTTAGTGGTATGTATGGCTAGATGCACAGCTCTTTCTATACTGCAGGACGCAAGCACTGAGACACAACCCCATGAAACACAGAACAGAAGGCACAGTTGTGTTGCATCTGGTTCTTGGCTCTTTGCAGAATGAGTCAGCTTGCCAAGACCCAGCTTGGTCTGTGCATACAACCAAGTCTTGGAAGCCCTGTTTCTGTGCTCATTGTATCAGTTTGCACCTAAGCCGTTTTAAAGAGCTGCTTCTTCCCAAGTTAAAACATGTACGTTCTATTTAAGCTGGCAGTATTTCTGCAAGCAAGCTGCAAGTCTGCATGCTGCTGTCCCAAACACCTGTGCCACATGTTCTGCACAGACAGGATGGACATGCAAAACAGCAGTAAGCAGTCCAGCAGAGTCCTAGCTTCAAGGCTGTGTTTATGCCAGTGTAGGTGAATTGGTAAGAGCTGCCTGTAAACTGCCTGGGAGAAGGAAATGGTGGTGCCTATTGGAGGATACATCCTTTGTGCCTGTTTGTAGCAAGCGTTAGGAATGTGAGTTGAAACTGGTTTTGAACTGACCCAGATAATGGTAAACTGAGCAAAGGTACGTAGGCCTTTAAACCTAGTGGTAAATGCTCTGTATGTCTAGGTGAAATGCAGTTAAGAGAACCAGTTGTGCACAGGAGGCCAGCAGGGTCTCTTTTATAGCATCCTTCAAATCTTGGTGCAAATTGTGTGGCTTGTCTTGCTCAGTATTGGATATTGCTGAGTGGCATCCCAGGGCAGGAGCTGGACAGGCGCAGGTCAGGTTGAAAGTTTGCCTTTACTCCTGACTCTGAATTGAAACCAGATGCATAAGTGGAATGTACTCATCCTGTCCAGCTTCTAGCAGAAGAGAAAAGTCTAAGATGCATGTAGGAGCTGTTGTGTGTCCTTCCATACTGCCTTGAAAACTTCAGTTACTGGTTACTGTTGACTACTTTTTCCAGAGCAGGTGTCTCACCCCCCGGTTATGTGAGAATATTCTTAGCACTGTGTCCAGCAATTCATGTAAAGTGCTATTAAAGATGCTGAGATACATGCTATAAAACTCCTGCGTTATCATCACGACAGCTTTTTGCCAGGGCTGCAAAGGACTTAGGTTGGGCTGGACAGGCAGACTGCTGTAAAATGTATGTGCAGGGATTCCATCATCTTAAATCACAATACAAACCCCCTTGAAACTGGTGAGAAGAGTCTTGCTGTACCTACACCACAGTGTGTGTAGACAATACTACATGCAGCTTGCTTTGCTTTATATAGCAATAATCACATGAGTGAAGGCTGCTGCAAGCATCAGCCATAAGCAGTAATAAAAACGGCATCTAGAGATTTGTATCTTTGTTTTCTGAAGCACAGCAAGCGATGAGGGCTCAAGTAAGGTCCAGTTGTTTCTGTCAAGGGTTTTATTGTCTTCTGTTAGAATTGGATGGACAGACTACAGTGAATCTGGCACTGCCTGCTAGTTTTGTTCTGGCCTTCACAGAACACCACTGAACTGTGTGCTATTGTTGGCCTGTGAGTTGGAGGGATATAGCCACTGGCTTCTTTCTTCTCCTTTCTGTTTTTAAGCCAGCAGCAGCTCTTGTCTTTACCATATTAATTGGAGGGAAGGAAATAATGAAACCCTAAAAAGTGTAGCTAAAAATACAAGTTCCTTTTCTGAACTGTCATTAGTATAATGCATGGGTTTAAGAGGAAAATTCTCTGAGCGCATTACTGACAAAACTATTGTTAGCACAGCCTGTAAAATAACTTGTGGTCATGTAAAATGGTGAATACCAGTCTGAACAGATCAGAGATTATTTAAGGGTTGAAACAAAGCTCCGTGTTCATGTCTGTGGTCTGGATTGCTGTGTGCAGAGAAATAAGTTACAATATAGAAGGGCCAAAACTTTTGGTCCTGTACCATCAGAACCTACATTAGACCCCATGGCTGGCTGAGGGCTTCTCAGCCTAGGGAAAAGCAAAGGCAATAAACACAAACTGGATTTGACTCGTCTGTGGGTTTAGCTCTTGCTGGTGCTTTGGAATCTGCTGGTGGGGTGTCCTAAGCTGCCTCTGGCTCCCGTGGGTTGGTCCATAGAGATCGGTGTGAGAAAGATGCACTGCAGCGCTACACCCCAGTCCAGAACTGGGATCGTGACTTCCACCTTTGGGACAGATCCCATCTGTCATGGTCTGATGTTACCGGTCCGCAATGGGCAGTGGTTACCAGGGAGCGTAGGCTGAGTGAGGCAGTGGCCTTGTGCATGTCCCTTTCCCTGCTGTGATGTGGGAATTCTGGCATGGTTTTGAGGTGCAGTTAATGCCCCAGGGAAGCCTGGTGCAGGGTATTCCGTTCATGTAAAGGATCATGTAAGAGAGAACTTACTGAATGCAACAAACAAACGTGCAGCCTCTGCAGGTTGTCTTTGGGGCAAAGGAGTAAAAAGAAGCTGCCTGGAGAATTGATCTTCAGGTTAAAGTGCCTATATCATGTTCATTTAATGTGTCTGGGGTTTAAGCTGTGTTATTTGCCCTCTGCTATCACTTATGCAAAGCTTTTGCCTCTCTTTTGACTCTGGCAGTGGTCTGGATTATGGGCACTCGCAAAGAGATCCCATCTGAGATCATTCCTCCACAGCTTCTCCTAAGATATTATTAATCTTTCTTTTTCAAGCCTACAATTACAGTTGAAGGCAAAGTATACTGCTGCTGTCTGCCTACCATTGAAGTTGTGGCTGTAACCTTCAACTCTGTGTTGTAACTTCCTGCCTCAATTTTCCATGTTGGTTTGGAAAGCTTTTCTAGGGTGCCGTATTTAGTCAGGCATTAGGCATATGACTGGCTGGCAGGGTGCTAATTCTGTATGTTCCCCTGAGTGGCAAAGCTTTGCCCTTCCTTCTGTCCCATCAGCTGCTGCTGTACCCATACACGTAGCCCAGGGGGAAGAAATCAGTGTCACATTAGATCTTCCTGTGTCATTGGTTTGCATGGTGAGGAGCAGTGGGCTTTCACTTTAGCTTTGCCCACGTCTTTCTTGTGGTGCCCTGCCATCCTGTTGGGATCACTAAACAAGCACCTAATGTTACAAAGATATAAAGACAGTGCTGACTTGGACAGTCACTCTTGGGATATCATCTGCCTTGATGGGCAAAGCATCTTAGTTTTTCTTTCCAGGAAGTCTTCTCCTTTCTGTTTGTATGCAGAATTTTTACTTCTCCTGTCTTTTTTCTTTTTCCTTAGTTTCTGGGATCAGGGTTCCGTTTGTTCCTGCAAACCAAGATGCCTTGTCTGCAAGGCAGCAATAGTGCACACTGATAAAAAGAATACATGCTGATGGGTATTCTGCTCGGGCTGAATAGTTGAACACGCACACGTTCATAGGAAGGCAAAATCTAGCAAAGCTATTGCTCTGCAGCCAGGCCTTCAAACACACAACTCAGAGATGTAAAAATCCAGTCAGTGCTAGGACAGGACAGATCTGTTCTCTGGGACAAGAGCTTGCTGCTTTAGCTCGGCTTTTCTTCATCTTTCCATCTTTTCCCTGAAAGACCAAAATGCTTTGATTTCCCAGCAGACCCAGTCATGCACCTGGTGAGACCCCACTTGTAGCACTGTGTGCAGTGCTGGTGTCCTCAGCATAAGAAGGACACGGAGCTGTTGGAGCAAGTCCAGAGGAGGCCACGAGGTTGCTCAGGGGCTGCAGCACTTCCCACATGGAGACAGGCTGAGAACGTTGAGGCTGTTCAGCCTGGAGAAGAGAAGCTGCGTGGAGACCTCAGAGCAGCTTCCAGTGTCCAAAGGGGGCTACAAGGATTCTGGAGAGGGACTCTTCATCAGGGGCTGCAGCGACAGGACAAGGGGTGATGGCTTCAAACTGAAACAGGGCAAGTTCAGGTTAGATCTAAGGCAGAAGCTCTTCCCTGTGAGGGTGCTGAGGCGCTGGCACAGGGTGCCCAGAGAAGCTGGGGCTGCCCCATCCCTGGCAGTGCTCAGGGCCAGGTTGGACACAGGGGCTTGGAGCAACCCGCTCGAGTGGAAGGTGTCCCTGCCCATGGGGAGGGGGTTGTAACTGGATGATCTTAAGGTTCTTTCCAGCCCAGACCTGTCTGTGATTCTATGACCTTCTGTCGTAGAAGCAAATTATACTCTTCACCTAGGAAGGTGGATTTACTCTGAGTCAAAGCCCTTTCCCGTGTCTTGAGCACGCTGATATATCTCTGCAGCCTGAAATCCATGTTTAGTAAAGCTCAACTCTGTGCTCTAATGGTTCATGACTCATTGCAGTGGTTTTCCCCTTCATTTCAAATGAAACCTTCTTGGAAAAGCAGCTGCAGGGCCAGTCTTATTTCATAGAGATGATGTGAAAGTGGCTGAAATCCCAGTGCTGAGGAGCTCCAAGTAAACAGCACGGGTCATTCACCGTGTCCTGTGCAGTTTATAGAGAAGGATGGAGACCAGATATGCCTTGGAGCTACCTCCTTGCCACTTGCAGCATGAGGGAAGCCTTAAAATGGCTTATGCTCACTGTATTTAAAAACAAGGCACGAAGCAATCCTGCTGTTCTGGGGCTACTGGGAAAACAGCCATGGTATTGCAAAAATAACACCAAAATAATGGGAATACACCAAATACAAATGTCAAAGTATTTTAAGTATGTCTGCATTGCCACCCATTCATTTGCATCCCAGAAATGGGAGGAAGCAGCCTGCCCTGCCTCTAGGCAATTCCTTCCACCTATTGCATTGGGGTGTGTTGTTCCTGGGGTCTTGGCTCTGCTCTTTGTCCCAGAGAATGAGCAGAATGAACCCCCCTATAAGGCAGAACAACCCCTGGGATGAGGCAGAACCCCATGGTGATGATAGGGCACGAGGTAACTCATGTTCTTCTGCAGTTAAGAACCCAAGTGCAGGTGCTGTCACTGATCACATCAGTGCTCACAGTGGTTTAGATATGCCGAGTTTTAGCAATTGGGTTTTGAACATGCTTTGAAGTGCCTGTAAGTCTGACATTCTCCTGCCTGCAGCAGGACCTCCCATGCTTGGCCAGTGAAGTAATGGTCTTTTTCCTTTAGTCCAGAAAAAGCAGAATTCATGAAGGACTGTGAAAGTTCATATTCCAGCTGGAAGTTTTCCGGAGGCTTTCGAACTTGGGTCAAGATGTCCTTGGTGAAAACAAAAGAAGAAGATGGCAGTGAGACTGTTGAATTCAAACAAGAGGTAAAAAAAACAACCCAGCCAACCACTCGGAAGGAGTGTTTTGGGACATCTTAGTTTGCTATGAACTAGTGACTGCAACGATTTCAATGCTAACTGGCCAACTGAACCAGTTCTTGGGGCAAACAGCAATGTGAGTTGGAGGAAGGGTGGGTTGGCCGGTTAAGTGAAGCATCAGGAGCTTGGGTTTTGTTTCACTGCATCCATTCCACCTTGCAGCAGGGAGCAGGTTTGGCTGTACAGTTACTTGCATTCTTAACACGGAGAGGTTCTGTAAAAGCCTCAATGTCTTGGTGTTTTTGGCTCTTGATGTGGCTTTGTGAAACACCTCAGGAAATAGGTGATGAGCTGTAGAAATACAGGGTAGAGCTGCAGCAAAGGGGTTGGACCAGAAAACAGAAGGTGGTAAAGCTCCTATGTGCTCTAAGAGTTACAGTGGTAAGTTACAGTGCTGAGAAATAGGAAAAGAGTTTGACCAAGAGGTGGAAGAAACATCTGTTCCCAAACTTGGGGAGCCCGCTGTTCCACATAGAGGAAGGCTAAACCAGAAGAGCAGTCTGCTCTTCTCACCTTCTTCCAAGCCTTTTCTGTTGCACAGCACTCATTGCACCGCTGCATCAGGTAACCTGCACCTTTGTTTCCTCTTTTCCCCTCTGCCCAGACCAGCGTGGTGAACTACATTGACCAGGGAACTAAACCCAGAAGCGATCAGCTGTTTTTTGTGGTATTCGAATGGAAAGATCCGTTCATACAGACTGTGCAAGATGTGAGTAACACTCTAAAGTCCCTTCTTGAACCGCTGTCTGAGTGTCCACGCTCATGGTTTATGTGTGCACAGGCCTCTGGGGCCTCCTTCAGAGGAAGAGTGAGAGGTTACTGCTGAAATGTGAATTGAGGCTCTTTCTTATATCCAGTAATGCATGTTCTACAGAAGTCAGGACCATCTGATGCCATTCCTTGGCTTGAGGATACTCAGTGTTCTGTTTGCAGCTGGAGGTACATGTGGCTAAGGAAAAAGCATGTCTGTGTCTTACAGCAAAGGGTAGCTTCAGGTCAAGCCTGAACATTTTTGCTTAAAGAAGTGTGCTTGAATAAACTGATATAATGACTTTGACCAATTGACAAGCAAGAAACCTCGGCTTGCATCAGAACAACAGCAGCAGCCTGGTCTAGCGTGTATTTGTTACTAGAATGTGGTACTGAATGTGGTGTGTGTGCCTGAAGTACGTGAGCTACATCTTGTCCTGGTTTTGAGGGTGAGGTCAGATGCTTTGCCTTCCCCACAGAGAATGGCAAAGTGTGCAGAGGAAACCTGCTCAATACATTGTGTTTTAAATGGCCCCAGGTGTCAACTGTCAACCAGAGTCCATAACTGGATGACCTGGGTGGGAATCTTCAAGAACAGGACAGGTGATTCCCCTGACAAGGAGAGGACAGGTGATTCCCCCCCACTCCCCGCAAACCAACACTGAGGTGGCAGTGAGATGGCATCTTTATGGTGCAGTGAAATCCCTGACAGGGCAGGTAGGAGTGAAAGAATAGTGGTGGTGATGTGTTTGGCTTTCGGCAGAAGTCGTGTTCTGGTCAAGCCATCCATCCATCCATCCATCCATCCATCCATCCATCCATCCATCCATCCATCCATCCATCCATCCATCCATCCATCCATCCATCCATCCATCCATCCATCCATCCATCCATCCATCCATCCATCCATCCATCCATCCATCCATCCATCCATCCATCCATCCATCCATCCATCCATCCATCCATCCATCCATCCATCCATCCATCCATCCATCCATCCATCCATCCATCCATCCATCCATCCATCCATCCATCCATCCATCCATCCATCCATCCATCCATCCATCCATCCATCCATCCATCCATCCATCCATCCATCCATCCATCCATCCATCCATCCATCCATCCATCCATCCATCCATCCATCCATCCATCCATCCATCCATCCATCCATCCATCCATCCATCCATCCATCCATCCATCCATCCATCCATCCATCCATCCATCCATCCATCCATCCATCCATCCATCCATCCATCCATCCATCCATCCATCCATCCATCCATCCATCCATCCATCCATCCATCCATCCATCCATCCATCCATCCATCCATCCATCCATCCATCCATCCATCCATCCATCCATCCATCCATCCATCCATCCATCCATCCATCCATCCATCCATCCATCCATCCATCCATCCATCCATCCATCCATCCATCCATCCATCCATCCATCCATCCATCCATCCATCCATCCATCCATCCATCCATCCATCCATCCATCCATCCATCCATCCATCCATCCATCCATCCATCCATCCATCCATCCATCCATCCATCCATCCATCCATCCATCCATCCATCCATCCATCCATCCATCCATCCATCCATCCATCCATCCATCCATCCATCCATCCATCCATCCATCCATCCATCCATCCATCCATCCATCCATCCATCCATCCATCCATCCATCCATCCATCCATCCATCCATCCATCCATCCATCCATCCATCCATCCATCCATCCATCCATCCATCCATCCATCCATCCATCCATCCATCCATCCATCCATCCATCCATCCATCCATCCATCCATCCATCCATCCATCCATCCATCCATCCATCCATCCATCCATCCATCCATCCATCCATCCATCCATCCATCCATCCATCCATCCATCCATCCATCCATCCATCCATCCATCCATCCATCCATCCATCCATCCATCCATCCATCCATCCATCCATCCATCCATCCATCCATCCATCCATCCATCCATCCATCCATCCATCCATCCATCCATCCATCCATCCATCCATCCATCCATCCATCCATCCATCCATCCATCCATCCATCCATCCATCCATCCATCCATCCATCCATCCATCCATCCATCCATCCATCCATCCATCCATCCATCCATCCATCCATCCATCCATCCATCCATCCATCCATCCATCCATCCATCCATCCATCCATCCATCCATCCATCCATCCATCCATCCATCCATCCATCCATCCATCCATCCATCCATCCATCCATCCATCCATCCATCCATCCATCCATCCATCCATCCATCCATCCATCCATCCATCCATCCATCCATCCATCCATCCATCCATCCATCCATCCATCCATCCATCCATCCATCCATCCATCCATCCATCCATCCATCCATCCATCCATCCATCCATCCATCCATCCATCCATCCATCCATCCATCCATCCATCCATCCATCCATCCATCCATCCATCCATCCATCCATCCATCCATCCATCCATCCATCCATCCATCCATCCATCCATCCATCCATCCATCCATCCATCCATCCATCCATCCATCCATCCATCCATCCATCCATCCATCCATCCATCCATCCATCCATCCATCCATCCATCCATCCATCCATCCATCCATCCATCCATCCATCCATCCATCCATCCATCCATCCATCCATCCATCCATCCATCCATCCATCCATCCATCCATCCATCCATCCATCCATCCATCCATCCATCCATCCATCCATCCATCCATCCATCCATCCATCCATCCATCCATCCATCCATCCATCCATCCATCCATCCATCCATCCATCCATCCATCCATCCATCCATCCATCCATCCATCCATCCATCCATCCATCCATCCATCCATCCATCCATCCATCCATCCATCCATCCATCCATCCATCCATCCATCCATCCATCCATCCATCCATCCATCCATCCATCCATCCATCCATCCATCCATCCATCCATCCATCCATCCATCCATCCATCCATCCATCCATCCATCCATCCATCCATCCATCCATCCATCCATCCATCCATCCATCCATCCATCCATCCATCCATCCATCCATCCATCCATCCATCCATCCATCCATCCATCCATCCATCCATCCATCCATCCATCCATCCATCCATCCATCCATCCATCCATCCATCCATCCATCCATCCATCCATCCATCCATCCATCCATCCATCCAATCCCCCTTTTGTGACTCAGTTACAGTCAGTCCATCCATCCATCCTTCACCTCACATCCCTTCACCTCTTTCTTTTTGACTCAGTTACAGTCAGTCTTTCAGTGACTTCATCAGGACACTGCCTGCAATCCTTGACACTCTACAGTGCCCTCCATCCCTGCCTCCAAACACTGATTCATCTCTTCCAGATTGTCACAGCAAACCCATGGAACATGATTGCTCTCCTCTGCGGCATCTTCCTCGCTCTGTTCAAGGCTGCAGACTTTGCAAAGTTAAGTGTCAAGTGGATGATCAAAATCCGCAAGAGACATCTGAAGAGGAGCCATCAAGCGAGGAACCACATAAACTGAGCCTCACAGCAGAGGGGATAGACAATAACTGGAATAAGCTTCCGTCAGCACTGACAGGCACAGAACAGGGATGTATGTTTGCTTCCAGACAAGCCACAGCTGGACAAGCAGCCTTGGACTTCAGAAAGGAGCTTCACTCTCAGACAGGTCTAACCAACTCACGCTTTTCTTGTCCTTTAACAAGTGTACCTCACGCTACGGGGGACCTGGGGGACAGGAGAGAATTCAGCCATGGGGAGAACATCAACTCTCCAGTGGCTGAGGTTTCAGAAGAGGGGTAGTGTTTGAATGCTGCTCAGCACCGGGGAGCATTCAGGTGCTGCAGGAGCTGGGTTCCACAGGTGCTCCCCTCAGTTACTGCTGGGACCAGGAGCAGCGGAAGGTAAAGCACTCAACAGGAGTCTGTCCTCCCCTCCCCAAAGTGTGCATTGTAACAAAATACACTGGAATTCTATGACACGGTGGTTTGGATTTTGAGTGACTTTAATATTAAACCATACTTCCAACACATTGCTGTGTACGTTCTTTGGAAGCACCCGCTCTCACTTTCAGCTTCACCGCTGGATCAGGCAGGAGCAATCCTGCACAAGGATGAGGTGAGGAACAAAAACCTGTTCCTCATGGGTCCAGCTTGAAGGAAACTCGAGCACCTCCATACTTGGGCATCTGGGCAGTGGTGGATTTGCTCTTCCCTCTTAACCCCAGTCTTTGTTGAGGAAGTGAAGAAGTCTTTCAGGAGCCTGGCACTTGCCTGTGCTCCAGCACTACCCAGGCAGCGTGTGCTCACCCACCGCGCTAGCGGGGGGGCTGCTGCTTCCTTACAAGTCCCTCATTAGTCTGGATGCCCAGCTCAGACGTGTGGAGGCTGCAGGGCAGCAGTGCCCCACGGTATGTTTGCCCCAAAGGCTTTGATGCAAGAAAAGGAGCACACCAGGTCACAGTCTGCTGCTTCCATCCGCTGCTAACAGAGGAATTAATGTAGAAGTAAGCATACCAGAAGCATCCCCCTTTTTCCTTTTCGACTTCTATGGAAGAAGTTCTTCCCTGTGAGGGTGCTGAGGCGCTGGCACAGGGTGCCCAGAGAGGCTGTGGCTGCCCCATCCCTGGCAGTGTTCAGGGCCAGGTTGAATGGGCCAGGATGGAAAGAAGGGGCCCAGCCAATGGCAAGGGGCTGGATGAGCCTTAAGACCCCTTCCAACCCTAAACCACTCTGGGATGCTATGATTCCATAAAATCTACTACTTTCAGGTGATTTCCAGAGCAAATCATGGCAGTGCCCTGACAAAACACAGGAGCAACAACTCACTGTAGTAGAACAAAGCCACCCTACTCACCAAACCTGAAACCCAGCAGCCTTCACCTCCCTCCAACACTCCTGCCACACATCCTTCAGAGACTTGGGTAGTTAAAAGGTGCTTTGTAAAAGCCCTTCTAATTCTCCTGGTCTTTATGAACACAAAGATATGATGTACAGCACTAAATACAAACATAAAGACTTTATTGAATGCTGCTCAATTCCCCAAAGGTCTTTCATTACAAAAGTTTTCCACACAACTGCAATTGAAGAGATTGGAATGGTACTCTGATAAAAGATGTGAAAAATACTTGATCAAGTAAACAGACAAGACTTCTATTGTCAGCTTTCCACTGGGCAGAAACAGACTGCATTTTCTTGAAAGAACACAAGGAACTGTTCATTGACATCCTTCCCTCCCTCCTTACTAAAGACGGAATTAATAATCCCAATTTTGGTCTCATTCTTCAGTCCATGAGATGTTAAACCTAATGCAGAGCCCATCCCAGAGCACCACTCCGCCAGGCATCCTCGGGCTGATGAGGAGCATCATTGATGGGCTCTAGGGGAAGCTCCATCCTCAGCTGTAGCAGGAGGAAATGTCTAAGTAGCCCAGGGCCAGGAGGCAGCAAAACCAGGGTGGAGGCACTCACGAATGGGGAGCTTAGAGACACAGAGCACTGAACCTGGTGTAGTTGACCTTCCCTCCTTACCTTGCCTCATTCTAACATGAGCATTAGATAAATCTGGATCCAAATCCCATCAGGACTGCAAGGACAGCGCTGTATCCCAGCTCCTGCTGCCGCTGCCAGGGGCACATACCGAGTATCTCGAGTTACTGGTAACGTACCTTGGTTTTATTTGAGAAAATACAGCACAACTAGAAGCCTTTCCTATTGTCTTAACCAAAGTATGCAGCGATGTGAAAAGCACATAGAAAACAAGGAAAAATGTGTACAGAGCAAACTCTACCACCTATGTGCAACACAATCAGAAATTCAAGTCATAATTCTCACCACTCCCGGAAGAATTTCACTCATTAAAGGATGCTAATTCAGGCCTAGGAAACGCTGGAGGTGACAGGATACCGATAATCAGACAGGTTTACAATATGCTGTGGTACGACATCACTTACTTAACTGCTGTATTGAAACTCAGATCTTTACGTTTGCCAGAGGGAAATAAAAGTGGCTGCTGCTGTTATACTGATGAGGTTTCTCTTGCAAATCCTTACGTATCTCAAAAGGGTACAAAAGTGTGTGTCTGCCGAGCAGGGGCGCCCGGCTCTGTTACTTGGCACTTGTGCTGTGTGCGTTGAGCACGGTGTGGGAGCTGTTCTGCTTCTCTGCCATCGCCTTCTTCAGCTTTAACTCCTCCAGCTTTCTCCAAAGCTCTTCACGTTCCAACTCTTTCTTTTTCTCTCTGCAAAGAGCAAGGGATCAGTTTCAGATGTGTCTGAAGTGCGATGTGGAGACACAGCTACTTAAACCCCAAGATTCACATCTCATAGAATGGTTTGGGTTGGAAAGGACCTTAACACCATCCGCTTCCAAACCTCACCCTTGACCATGTCTACTAAGGCTCTATCCAACGTGGCCTTGAACACTGGCAAGGATGGGGCAGCCGCAGCTTCTCTGGGCACCCTGTGCCAGCACCTCAGCACCCTCACAGCAAAGAGCTTCTGCCTTAGATCTAACCTGAACTTGCCCTCTTTCAGTTTGAATCCATCACCCCTTGTCCTATCGCTACAGTCCCTGATGAAGAGTCCCTCTCCAGCATCCCTGTAGGCCCATAATTCCTCCTGGTTTTCTCCAGAGCTATTTTTAGTGGCAATTACAGTTTCCTCTGTTAAAAAATGAGTGCATGAACTGTATCTGTTAGTGGCAAAACTCTAACTTTGCTCCAGCAAACCCACCGAACTGCTGTAGTGTGGCTCTGCACAGATGACTGCAAGCCTAAGGAGGTTCTTTACATCCAAAGAAATGAAGGGACTACACATCTTTGGGGGAGAGAAGCACAGCTACTGCCAGGACACAGAGCATGATGCCCCAGCTGGCCTAGGACACCCTGCACCCCACCTCCCTACTCCAACAGCAGGTCACCAGGGTGAGGGAGAAATCTGAGCTATGAAGTATTCTCCAGCTCAGCTGTTCTCAGCCAAACCCCACCAAGAGCAGCAGACCCAGCACCAGGCAGCCCCTAACAGCCAGGCCTGGTTTGACCCCTTAGGAGAGGGTGGGCTCCCTGCCACAGTGCAGGATAAGCTGAGCCCTGCCTACTGCAACCTCCCACTGGTGGGCAGCTCCACATCAGAACTGCCCCAGGCACACCACGTAAGCTCTGTTTCTTTTCATCAACACATGTTTGGAAGCACTGGTCGATACCTTTGTCTTTCTGCCTTGTACGAGCTTGTGAGTTCATCGAAAAGCTTGCCATTCATTTCCATCAGGGTTTTCAGCACGTTGTACACCAGTGCCACAATGGTTCTGCAACACAAGGAACATGACCGTGAGGACACAAGATGCTCTTCGGTGAACAAGTGCTCAGTTTCCGGAAGATTCCGCTGAAAGATGAGTGACTTTGCGACACAAAATCCTCAACCATCACTTCCTCTGGAAATTAACAAGTTGCACATGTAAACACTCTGTTTAACCTTAAAATCCCAATTCTTGTCATTGCACAGGGTGTAATTACCAGTGCTGCGGCTGCACTATGAAGCCATTCACTTACGTTCACATTTAAACCGGGTTTTGACAACTGTTTGATAGGATTTGAGTAAGGAAATATGAGAGTCCAGAAAAATCAAACTCCTCCTGGCTCACAGTGCCAGGCCAGGGCAGAGGGACCACAGGCGCGTGCTTTCACAGAGTCACTGAAAGGGCTTCTGGGAGCAGGGAGCTCTGCTAATGCAGGCTCCGTTCAGGAACCAAATGGAGACCATTGGATACCAGTTCCCAGTAAAGGACCTTCCTTTCCTTAAGCAGCTTGAGCAATAGTGGTTGTGTCCTGCATGGCTGTCCCTGTTTCCACCTTGGGCATTAATCTTCTCGTGTGAAAGCAGTTGTATTTCAGTAAATTATCTCCACTATGGGGGTGGTTATCTCCTATACACTCACTCAATTACACAGAGATGCAAAACCAGCAATCAAATAGCAATGAAGAAGGCGCCCAGCATTAAGCTTAACACTGATGAAAAGAGACGAGAGTCTTCCCGTCTTTTCCCTCGCCAGCAGTTCACCAGCACTCAGCAGCATTGAGTGCAAGGCTGTGGAGCAGGGAAGTCTTGAGAAATGAGTGAAAGAACCACCTAAGGAAGCAGCCAGAGGTCCAGGTTTGCTTTTTCCATGCTCTCTGTCCACTGTGGCACTATGAAATCTCCCAGCTGCACATCAGAGGCCTTACCCTCATTCAGAGCACACCTCTGCACTGAGCCCAGCCACACACCCAGCTTTGAACACTGGCTTTCATATGGTTTGAAGACAAAACTTACTCAGGGCGTTGGCTTTCTCAGAGGAAAAGCGTGGTTTTGAGCCAGTAGCTAAGGCTGTATCAGACAGACAGATAGGAGCATGTTTCTCTGCCCTCCAAAACAGATTAAGCCCCAAACTTTCTTCCCCAAACTTCCTCAACATACACAATGATCCTGGGTCTCCCACTTCCTTCATACAGAGCAGCTTCCATCTGCAGTCAGGAAAAGAGGGACATC